CACTTGTTCTGGGAAACTGAAGACAGCATGTCTAAACTTGTGCATCAGTAAGCCATGTTGCAAGTGTCAAAACATGTGGGCTCCAATTTTAAGTAAATAAACAGTAAGTGGGTTGATATTCAGATGCACCTTATTTTGTTTATGGAGCATTGCCCATCTATGTGGCACACATAGCTGATGCTGTCAGTATTGATCACATCACATATTTTCTGGTCTGCAACCAGAGCTCATAATATCATTACTAGCTAAAGGAAATATCTATTTAAGTAGCCTTAATTTTCATTAATAAACAGAGCAAATGTGCAATTCTTCTTTCTGATATATGCTCAATATTCCAAGGACTGATTTATATGCTGCTCTTCAGTGATTTTATCCATTTGTAACACAAGGTACCTGTTAGCATGTGAGCCAGCCACTAATCTCCCACACTCTATGGTACTGAACCATATGGAAAGTCCAACAGTGTGATCAGCTAAAGAAGTTTGCCAAGACCTAGTTTTGATTTCTTCCAGAGCATGGTATGTGTTGAAAATACTGTAGCTAGTTGTCTGTTTCTTAGCAATAGTCTGATGTGTAACCATTTGTAAGTTTATTTTACATAATGAGATCTTGGTAACTCTGTTTGTTTTATTTTGTTTTGTTTTGTTTTTCATTTCTTAGAGAAACAAAATCCAATAATTTTACTCAGGAAACTATTACTATATACTTGTTCTAGAAAAAATTATAGATTTATTACAGAGTTCTGTCCTATGTTTGAAAACTCTTGTTGAATTTTCAATGGCTATATGGCAATAATTTTAAAAGACAAAGAATTAGATATGAAGGGTGAGTTGATTCATTTTCTGACTTAATAAAATCCGATTTTGGATATTCAACATTGTATTCATAGTTAAGTTTTTCTTTTTCATCTACTTCTGGGAAATCTTCTCATATGAATGTTTTCTTGTCCTAATGGAGTCCTGTTACTTTTATATTTCACATTATTTTGAGTTTTAATATTATAATGTTCTTTCTAATTTTATCCTTCACTGAACCAGCTTCGCTCCCTTGGTCTATTTTTTAAATGAGAGGTAAGATAAATAAAAACACTAAAAAATGGAAAGTGTTAACTGAAAATATAAGCTCAAAGGATACAAAAATATTTTGGTTTAAATAAATTGTACCCTGTTAACTAAATCTTAGTTCAGCAAAACTAACCTTCAGAGTGCTTGACACTCATGCACAGCTTTTACAAATTATAGTTAAAGATGTTTTAATTATTATGTTAAAAGAATTTGATAGGATTCAGGGAAAACCATGACGAATCTGATTTTTAAAGTGAATATAGTGGTTGTGAAGAAACTCTTTTCAAGGCAATTTCCTCTGATGCTACCTAAGGACCAGGAAGACCTGACAGACAGTGGTAGACCAGCAGGCCTAAAGTATACTGGCCTCTTTCCAAACCTTATGTACTCAGAACACCAATCTTAAAGAATTATCTGTGACCTGGTATTGGATTTCCTCACGTGTCACAGGGGCTTCAGCCAGGCATGGCAGATTTCTTTTTCTAAAAGCCAGAATTCTCCATCTTTCCTCTTAAGTAAAGTTCTATCTCTGTATCATATGGGAGGCATAGTCCTCTGCTCTCTCTTGGGGCCCCTCCTGGGCTTTCTGGCTAATTCCAGGGGCCCTATAATTGTGCCCACCTGTAGAAGCCCCAGGTAGGGTGCAAAGCAGATTCTTAGCCCCTTGCCACTGTCCTGCAATTTCTATATGTCTTTAAAATTTTCATCTCTCTTGGAAAATGAAACTAAAGAGAAACAAAAGAGAAAACCCTCTTCTTTGATTTTACTACTTTCAGCCTATCTTTTCATTCCTTGCAGTCACTGTAAACTTTCCTGGGAGGGTGGCTTTTTCTCTGGTTGTCTGCTTGTACAACACGAGTTCTCTTTTTAAATGCCTCTGATGTGGTTCCAGTCCATGTTTTTATGTAAATGACTCCATGGAATGTCATCAATGCTCATAACCACCAAATATAACAACTTCTCTTGAATCCCTTTTTCTTCATCGCATTTGTAAATTCTTGTTTACCTTGTCCTGGCTGAAACCCTTCTCATTTAACTACAGCAATGTTTGATGACCCCCAATCTCTAACAATTCCTCCATTTTTTTTGTGGGTTCTTTAATCTTTCTTTCCTTGTACTTATGGATAGTCTCCTATCATGTATGTTTTCTCATATCAGCTGAAACGGATTTATTCATTCAATCCCAATATCACAAAAGTAAAGGACATCCCTCAAGGTAAAACAAAAATTTGCGGGGGAAGAAAGGGAAATTTTTTACTTCAAAAACATGTCGAGTTCAAGTATTTAATTCATAAACAATAAAAAAAAACAGGGTTAGTAAGTTAATGAAGAACACATCTAAAATGGATTAGTAAGTGAAAGTCATGTTTTTAGAGGATTAATTTATTCTTTTAACACTGACACAAATTATCTCTTAATTTCACTTGTGAAAGAAACAATAGATTATACAGATTATGGGTATGAGCCAACATGGTAATTTTTTCCTCCTTTACAAATAGTTTAACCTCTATTCACACCGTTAATAAAGCTTTATAGTTTCTTTCTTGAATGGAGTGTAACTCGAATGAGGCTTTGAGTTATAATATTTATGCATGAGGTATAACCCTACATATGTCAGTATAATTACATAGGTCAGGTTTGGAAGTTTGTTATGGAAAACAACCAAAGTAATGTCACAAAATTCTGTGCCAAGTCTATGACAGTGTTATCTCAAAAAATGTTGACATAATAGGAAATAAAGTATCAGGAAAAACTGTGTTAAGACAACCGTCCAACTAATGAAATACAATTGGTCTGATGCAAAAGTGTACTATGTTTTCAAGGATGAAATATATTTACAAGTCATAAACACATTTAGTTATATTTAATTAGCAGAATAGTATATAAGGCTTAATGTTTTCAAGTTTTTTAAGCTTTTGTTCCTATGAAGAGTTTAAATGACTTGAATGTAGGGATTTTTTAAAAATTTCATATCTCAGGCAATAACTCATGACATATATATTTCAACAATGACTTACACATATTTCTTTTTAAGGTGAAATAATTGTTTTTTATATAGTACTGAAGTCCTTCACAGACTATGCCAACAATCTACTTTTAAATATAATTTGAATTTTTAAAAAATTTTTTAAAAGATTTTATTTATTTATTTGACAGATAGAGATTACAAGTAGGCAGAGAGGCAGGCAGAGAGAAAGAGAGAGAGAGAGAGAGAGGAGGAAGCAGGCTCCCTGCTGAGCAGAGAGCCAGATGTGGGGCTAGACCCCAGGACCCTGGGATCATGACTGGAGCCAAAGGCACAGGCTTTAACCCCCTGAGCCACCCAGGCGCCCCAAAATATAATATATAATTTGAAGAACGATGGCACATCATTGGTTTGCAAAAATCAGTATGGATTAGAAATCATGTGGAAGGTTTATTAAAACACAGATTACAGGGCAAACTCAATAGATCTGCAGAGGCTTGAGAATCTGTATTGCTAACAGGTTCCCAGGTGATGCTGATTCTGCTGGGCCCATGACCATACTTTGAAAGGACTGGTAGAAACCAAGTTGTTTATAAGAATTCTGAGAATTACTTCCATCCAAATTTTAGGTCACTTGTAAAAATTTATCTACTCACATCCAAGTTAAAATAAACCTTTTTTGATTAGCTACTAATACCAAATAGTTATGTTTATATTATTAATTTTTCAAGAAATTAAATTTAGAATTCACAAGTATGCTGGCTGCCAAAAAGTCTCCCTGCACTTAATTTCATTTTGGCATAAAAATAATATTTCATGTGAAATAAAATAATATAAAAACCCTGCAAGTGAATTTTTCTAACTATCCACACTTGAACTTGCATATACCATTGTAATATTCTGATGCAAGATTTGCTGGCTTATGAAAAGTCCTAAATGCTCTTCTACTGAAGGTATTTCAGAATAAGTATGAGACTACAGATCAGTGAACAAATTGCCTTGTAGACTTTTATTATAGCTTTTCATTAAAAATATTAAAATATTTCGTCCTTTATTAAAACTCAGTTTCTTATCATTGTAAATGTCTCAATATTTCAACATATTTATACTACTTATTGATGAACTCCAAACACATTTCTTTTTTTTTTTTTAATTTTTCTAAGATTTTATTTATTTATCTGACAGAGAGAGAGATCACAAGTAAGCAGAGAGACAGGCAGGAGAGAGGGGAAGTAGGCTCCCTGCTGAACAGAGAGCCTGATGCAGGGCTTGATCCCAGGACCCTGAGATCATGACCTGAGCAGAAGGCAGAGGCTTAACCCACTGAGCCACCCAGGCACTCCCAAACACATTTCTGATTCTCTGGTTTCGAAATGCTCAAATGCTATGTGCTTAATTTTGTGGGAAAAAGAAGTGAACAATGACCAAAGAAAAAAAAAATTCCAAATGATACATTTCTATAGGCCTGGATGCCTCAACAGTTTCACATAAATATCACAATAAATATATTCAATAAATTAATTCCTTTGTCCGTATTACTTTTTATTACCTGTACAAACTTGTATTCTACCTGATTTTCTCCTTTTATATGTGTGATCTGATACAGATTATAAATCAGAAAGTTAAATAATTATTAAAGGCTCTTACATGGTTAAGAATTACATAAAATTTTTATTGGACTCAACTGAGATTTCCAATTATAAGTTTCTTATTTTTAGATTTTTGGTATTTTCCAGCGGCACTGAAATTAATGTCCTAGCATAAGCAGCAGGACATCGAGAGCACAATCAAGGCAGGAAGGCAGGTGTCAACCCTGCCACCTCGGCAATCAGTCTCCTTGGTTCAGATAATCTCAGAGTTGCTCTCCCATCCTTACCGCACGTGTCTTTCTCCCATTGACCTCTATGTCTGGCCTGAGAATTTATAATCAAGAAATTATTATTGACACTTTCTGAGGCTGGCATACTTACAATCAGGTGGCATCTTTTCCATAAATGCTGTGTAATATTCTTTTAGAAGTTCAAAATTTTCTTGATTAATACTTTCCTGCAAAGAGACATCTCCAAACCTAAAAATAGAAAACAAAAAAACAAAAAAACAAAAAACCAGTTACAGGTTATAAAGAAGCTCCTGGAACTAACACTTTTCACCTCTCCTTTTTAAGTAGGTGGCAAGAGTTTCCTAAGGAGTCTTTTTTTTTTTTTTTTTTTTTTAGGAGTCTTTTTTAAGCTACATTGCACAATGGTTATTTAAACACATTCCAGTCTCCACTGGCCCTGATTCCACCAATCCCCTCTCACACACCAAACTATTTTTGCAATCATCAGATGTGAAGTCGAATGAAAACCCAAATCTGTAACACCAGCTCCTGTGTTTGTGCGTGGTTGATAGTAGTTAATGTTAGTTTGCCGACTTCTGCAGGGTGGTATTTCTACAGTGCCAAAACCCTGCCTCTTCTTTTTCATCCCTCGAATCTTCCTCCTCACCCATGACATCTTGAGGAGGGGTCTAGAACACCAAAAGCAGACACCTGGCTGGCCACAGTCTTGTATACACTATCAGATGCTGCAGGCACATATAGACCTCTGCAATCTCTGGAGAGTGGTTTATGACTGTCAACACTTCTTTTTCTATTGTTTGTTTGTTTGTTTAAGAGAGGGAGGGAAAGGGGAGGGAGAGAGAGACACACACACACAGAAGGGGCAGAGAGAGAAGGAGAAAGAGAATCTCAAGCAGGCTCCACATCCAGCATAGAGCCCAATGCAGGATTTGATCTCATGCCCTTGAGGGTCATGACCTGAGCTGAAATCAAGAGTCAGCTGTTTAACTGACTGTGCCACCCAGGCACCCCCCAACATTTATTTTCTGTCCACACCATGAAGGCAGACAGCCTCTGTAGTGGTGCTCTTCTGTCTCTTTACCACAAAACTCTCCACCTGTATATCACTGACCTTGTGTTTTTTTTAAGCATGTCCCAGATTTAAATTCATGGTCAAGTTGTCCCTCTATAAAAACATCATATGTAAATGGCTTCCAATATGTTATCTCCATCCAAATCTGCATTTCTAGATATCAGTTGAAAGCTTCAGTGTGAATTATCCCAACCCCTTCAAATGCAACATAAGCCCAAACGGAAACCACCTCCTCCTTTTGTTTAAAATTAAACTTGTCCCCAATACTCTGCCATTAACTCAGATTAAAATCTAGGCACTCTTTGGGATTTCTTCTTTTTTCGCCATTCCATCCACTATTCATTGATCTTTTCACATGTCTGACAGACTTTCTTTCTTTTCCTTTAATACTGTCATTATATAGTAGGCGTTTAATTACATCCACTGCAGACTGGGTATAGAGCCTCCCCAAAACTCCGGCACTATGCCTTTAGTCTCCTTCCCTTCCAGTCTATCCTCTACACCATGGTCATTCATTAATTCAGATCATTTATTCATCCAACAAATACTTATTCAACATTTCAACATTGACTATGTGGCAGGAGCTGCACGTGTAATAAATGAAATGTTGGAGAAGTGAATCTAATACCTGTTCTTCACATCAGCTTACTAAACTTCACTACTTCTTCTCTCTCTGTAATGACAGTCTAACCTCCTTAGTTTCACATCTAACTTCTCCACAAAGGCTTCTAAACCCTTGTGGGAATGGAGTTACCCCCTTCTCCCTCAAGCAGCAACATACTGATGCCTTTGCGACTTTCCACATGCTATTCTCTCTCTCACTAGAATGTCTTATCTTCCTTGTCTGCTTGATCATTTCATCCTTCAGGCTTTATGAGAGGCTCATGTACTCCATGAAACCTCCCTGAGGAATTCCTCTCCCATCTGTGAATCACGTTCTTTCCTCCCTTATTCCTGCCCCTTCCACATCTTTGCTTATTGCATGAGTCAAACTGTCACATATTACTTGTTGATCTGGCTTCCTTATGGGATAGTAAGATTTTTTAGGACAGGGATCATGCCCATTTGTCTTGTTACACTGCATGTTCCCTGTGTCCCACAGATCGGCACAGTAGTGCCTGGTGCAAGGTCAATGTTCAATATCTATACTGTTAAACTTGGAGAATAGGAATATAGACCCAGGAAAATCTACAGGCGAGTTTCTCTGAACTCTGGAATACACTTCTAACTTTTTCAGACATTATAAAACAAATGGTATTTTAAAAATGTCATTCTTGCTGGAGTGATGTCATCATTATGGACTTAATGTTTATGTCCTCCCCCAAAAATCACATTTTGAAGCCTCAACTTCCAGTGGCTGTGTTTGGAGATGGAGCCTCTAAGAAAGTAATTAAAGGTCATGAGAGTGGGGCCTTAATCCAATAGGATTAGTGTGTCCTTGTAAAAAGAGACACCGGTGAGCTCACTCTCTCTGTGTACACAAAATAGAGGGTCAAGTGAGCACACAGAGAAAAAGTCAAAGAGAGCTCTTACCAGAAACAAACTGGCTAGTACCTCTGGTACTATGAGACAGTACTATGAGATACACATTTCTGTTGTTTAAACCACCCATTCTGAGGTATTTTGTTAGGGTAATCCAGAATAATCAGTATTTACTTAATTAAGAATGGATACACATAACATACATTTTGGCAATAGGTAAATATGTAGTGAAATATTACACCGGGTTTACATAGCATACCTAATTTATAGATGTCGCCTGGTAAAGCTCAAAATTAAGAATCAGAGAAATAAGGTTCAGAGAACAGAGAGGAAGTGATCTATTCAGATCAGTAGTTAGTTGATGTCAGAGTGCCAACCTTCTTGCTTCTCTTTGAGTTTTTCTCTACTTTGCCATTTTTGTCTCTGCTTCAAGTTTTAAATGTCTTTACAGCTTCCAGATATGAAAAAAAAGTGTATATATGTGTGTGTGTATACACACAGACACACATGTATAAAGTATGCAAGAGAGATAAGAGAGAAGAAAGGGAAGGGACCTTTTATTTTTTATATTTATTTATTCTTTTTTTTTTTTTTAAATTGAGAGAAAATGAGAGAGGGGATGGGGGAGGGGCAGAAGGAGAGGGAGAGAGAGAGAATCTTAAGCAGACTCCAAGCTCAGCATGGAGCCTGATGCAGGGTTCAGTGTCATGACCCTGAAAATCAAGACCTGAGCCCAAATCAAGAGTCAGACACCTAAGAGCCACCCAGGTGCCCCATGAGAAGGGACTTTTTAAAACAAAGTGACTAACAACTGAAATAGTCACAATGGCATAAATTATGCAAATTAACCTAATGTAAAGGGCTTGAAAATACAATGGTAACTACAATGCTAACTTTTCCCTGAAAATCCTGTAAATGGTGACTTTCATATCTCTCTAAAGACCACACTCAGAGGCCTTAATTTATTAAGTCAAACCCAAAACATTCTGAATCTAGTATATCAAAGAAGAGACAATTGATTGAAAGTACTGTGCTGGGCTTTTTTTCCTCCATATTGTATAATTTATGTTCATAAATATCATTTACCTCAACCATCAGACTTGCTGTGAGGCACATATACACAGATAACTGGACTATATCTCCCTTTAGGGATTGATGTGGAAAAGTGCTCAATTATCAAAGTAAACTTCTTGTACCACACAGTGAATAAAATTATATTCTGATTTATGCATATTATAAGAGATTAATGCTTTTACACAATTTGAAATTAAACTTGAAATACAAAGCTGCCACCTAATTTTATAACTGACAAGTGAGAATTATGCTGTCCAGGAAATACCTTTTGGATAAGAGGGACAGAAGGAAAAATCACTGGGAGAGAATAGATAAAAACAGGTACCTTGACTGTCACTGAAATTCAGGAGGACTAGAAATGTAGTAGCATTTTTAATTTAGTAAAAGACGTCGATACAGCTTTAACACATACTTACCAAGTCATGGCAAAGAATATGCTAGGTGCTTTTAAACTGATACCTATGGGGGAAGGACACATTTGGAGAGTAAATTATGTACAAGGAGCATTTTAAATATGGAAGACTATCAAACTCTCCAAAAGTTCTGCCCATCAGAGAACTTTTCCAGCCAGGCCCCACAGCAGGATGGCAACTTCTTTCTCCAGAATCTTTTAAAAATGTATTCTAGGAACTTTAAGTCTTAACCACACTTTCGATAATCTCTACATGTGAACCATGTAATAAGATACAAAAAAGTGTTTTTGACAGTAACTCACAGGACTGTGTACAATCATCTGTTGTTAGACTAAGCAAGTTATTACGAAAAGATGTGCTAACCTCCCCCAATAACAACTATTTTAGTAAACAAAACAAAAGGGAAAAATGGACAGACCTAAAAGGTCCAGAAAAGTTTGATCCAGTTGGCTGAGTCTCTACAATGTTGAAATACATATGAATGTAAGCCATGTTAAAATTGGATACACACGCGGTGTTTGGAACCGTGAAGAAAGTTTATATCCATGTAAATAATTTGGCATTGGCATTCAATATTTTCCTCATTCCTTTGCCGTGTTTAAATTTGATGTGGGCCAGGAATCTGAAATATGAGTATTTCTCTTTGCCATCTCAAATGACTTGCTACGATAAAAAGGCAATATGTGCCCATGAGTCTACCTGAGTTCCATGTGGGTGGGAGTTACTCGGAAAACCCACAACCGAAAACAACAACCGAAGTCCCAGCCTTCTACCTGAAGCTTACCTCTCTGCCAGAGTTTGTTGTTCGTTGATTCCAACATTAAAAAGTACTGGATACACATGGAGCAATTGTCCCTCTTTAATCTGCAAAGGCAGTGCCTCAAACATCCGCGAGGGAAGCTTCACCTCCACCACGTAATGTTCACTGAGGACAGCGGAGGACAAAGAGAAGAAGCCTTGCTTATTCCACTCACTGTTACGTTAGAGTCATTGGAAAGAAACAAGGAGTTGGAATATAAAGCTGATTTAGGTTTGGGGCCGCTATCTGCTTATTTTCTGGCATTAATTCGTTCGGCAATCATTTTGTTCACTTCACTATTAAATTACTTGGCATAAAGAACTATTTACAGTTTAAAAAAAAATTCTCCATTTCTCTGAGTTCCTTTAGGAAAGGAAAAATGTTTAGTTCGTTTGTATACCAGGGTTATGTGCCTAAGAGACTCAATATTTATTTTCTTGATTTAATTATTTTTAAAACCCAGCCAATCTCAAGAATGAAAAAAGTAATTTAATGATGGATTTTTCAATATAGGGAAGCTAATAAACCAAATCATTTAAGATATTTTTGAGCATGGCCTGATTGTTCCTGTTATTGATGAACCTCCCTGTTTGTGATGGCTTGATGGAAATGGAATGGTTTCATTACGTAAGATATAACCTTTAGGGGTTTCTGATCATTTTTGCAACATGAGCATATCACAGGAATGTTTTTCCTTCCCCCCACTGGAAATTTCCATTGAAAATTACTCCTAATGTTCAGTGCTGAAAATTTAAATTAGGATTCACAGAACATGGTCAACAAGAAGAATTGCTTGTATATTTTTAAACTTGACATCACTCGATGCAGTGTGAACCTAGTATTGAGATGTAGAAGAGTTTTGCTCAGAATTTATGAAAATCCATGTGTTTCTGGAGCTATCTATAGTGCTGGGATTGTAATACATGTATGGGGAAAAGAAGCACTCAACAATTCGTGAGTCTCTTTGTGGAAATATTTTTAGTTGTCAAGTATAACCATCCTGAGACAAAACTACTCCGGATGATGGACTCAGACTTGTTTCTTACCTGAGCTTGGAACCAGAGAACCAGGAAATTCCATGAATCCAGCAAGCAGGGATGTTATTAGCACTACCCTCAGATGAATGGACACATTATTTTTCTTTTTAAAATTGCTCTCCGTGCCCTTTACAAAAGCCCGGCTAACAGAGTGCCGATGTTTATTTATTTCAAGTCTTTCAAGAATCTGAGAAGAATTAATGAGTCCGTCCATGTGTAAAGGTTGCGCTGAAGGTGAAACATTATATAACTTAAAGTTTTATGATAACTTTTTGTCAGTTTTATTAAAATAGAACCGGCATGAACTCATGCATTTTAAGTGTATAATTCGGAGTTTTAGCAAATTTATAGAGTTGTGAAATCCTGACTATAATCCAGGTTCAGAATACTTCCATCACTTTACAAACAATCTCTCATGCCTGTTTGCTTTCACACCCCAATCCCACTGCCAGCCCCAGGAAAACCCTGATTTATTTTCTATCTCTGCAGATTTTACTTTTTTACTTATTTCATATAAACAGAATCATATAATATGTAGTCTTTTGTATCTAGCATTTTTCATTTAGCGTGATGTCTCTGAAGTCATTATGTTGTAGGCTGTATCAGTAGTTTATTCCTTTTTATTCCTATTTATAGCATTCTATTGTATAGATAAACCACTTTTTTGCCTATGTATTCACAAGCTGTTGGCTACCTGGGATACTTTGCAATTTGGACTATTATGAATAATGCCATCAACATTCAAGCATTAGTTTTTCTGTGGACATATGGTTTCGTTTTCTCTTAGGTATGTAACTAAGGGTCATATAGTAATTTTAGGTTTAACTTTTTAAGAAACTGCCAAACTGATTCCAGAGTGGCAGCACCACTCTACCTGCCCACCAGCAATGTATGAAGGTTCTAGGTTTTCCACATCCTCGCAAACACTTTTTATTGTCTGACTTTTTGATTATGATGATTTCCACTGTGAGCGAAGTGGTATTGAATTGTGGTTTTAATTTGCATTCTCCTAATGACTAATGATGTTGACCATGTTTCCATGTGTGTATAAGCCATTCATATATCTTATCTGGCAAAATATCTATTCAAATCCTTTGCCTATTTTTTTAATAGGTTTTTTTAAGATTTTATTTATTTATTTGACAGACAGAGATCACAAGTAGGCAGAGAGGTAGGCAGAGAGAGAGGAGGAAGCAGGCTCCCCACTGAGCAGAGAGCCTGATGCTGGGCTCGATCCCAGGACCCTGGGATCATGACTTGAGCTGAAGGCAGAGGCTTAACGCACTGAGACACCTCGCTCCCCTTGGATGCAAGGCTTTTATCAGATATATGATTTGCCTATATTTTCCCAATTATGTGGCTTGTCTTTTCATTTACTTAGTGATATAATGATATTTTTGCTTCTTGATAGTTTATAATTTCGATTAAAACCTATCTATCAAATTCTGTATTTTATGAATCTAGAATTTCTGGTCCTATCTAAGAACTCTTTGCCTAACCCAACTTAATAAATATTTTCTCCTAGAAGTTTCGGAGTTTAAGCTCTTACATTTAGACCAATGATCCACTGTGAGTTAGTTTTTGTGCATGGTATAAATTGAGGTTCAAAATGACTTTCCTTGTGTATGGATAACCAATTATCACAGCAACAGTTTTTGGAAAGTCTCTTCATTCTCTGTTGAATTGCTTTGGCACCTTTTGTCAAAAATCAATTGACCCTAAAGGTAATAGTTTACATCTGGGCTCTAAAGTCTGTTCCGTTGATGGGTATGTATATACTTATGCCCATACTAGAGGGTCTCCATTATTGTGGTTTTATATTAAGTTTTGAGATCATAAAGTGTAAGTCTTCTTTTGCCCTTTTATAACATTGTTTTTAGAATTCTGGGTCCTTTGCATTTCCATACAAATTTTAGGTTTAGTTTGCCAATTTCTGCACAAAAGACTACTGGGATTTAGCCAGCAATTGCACTGAATCTATAGATCGGTTTGTGGAGAACTGCCATCCAAACAATATTGAGTATCCTAATCTGGGAACATTGGACTGTCTTTTCATTTATTGGACCTTATTAATTTCTCTAAGCACGATTTTGTGTGTTCTGTGTACAATTCTTAGAGTACTTTGTTAAATTCGGTCTGATGTAATTATTCTTTTTGACGCTATTGTGAATGAAATTGTCATCTAAATCATCCGTTTCCAGCAACTTTTTAGGAGTGTGTTTTTTCCTGCTTTCCAATCCAAATCAAGTCAGCCCCTCTGGTAGTGAAACTGCTGGTCCTTCAGCCTGTGTTACCCCCTTAAAACTGTGCCGACTGAGCTGGGTTTTATGGGAGCAACTCTGGGCAAGAGTGCCACAGACACCATGTATGTGTCTTAATCAATATCCACTGGTTTTTCATTATAAGTACTTGTAAGTTTGTGTGCACATTTGACTTATTTCTTTCATCTCAAGGTCATTGTTTTTGGCAATTCTGTCCAATTGTGATGTTGATGTTTGGAGAGAGGGTTTACCAAACTGCTCACTTTGCCATATTCTGTAAGTTCCACTCACATCTGGTTTGTAACTTTTGAATTTAGATACAGCCTACAGACTCCCTCAGAAAAAGCATCTGTCCTCTGCTATACCCAATGGCCTGGTAAACTTCCCATATCAATTATAATAAAAGTATCAGTTCTCCACTTTTGATCATATAGAATGGTACTATTTTCCAGGTGTGTATATGAACAATCTTATTCTTCTTTCTTCCAGTGCATGGAAAATTAAGCATTAGTTCACAGATGATATATTTAGTATTATGAGGATATTTTTTCTTTATGTATATGAAATAGTCACCTTTCATTCAGTCATGTTTCTCTGAGCAGCCTTTATACAAAGTTTAAAATAACGTATGTTTACTATAGACAAGAAAGCAAGTTCATTTTGAACTTTTATACTTACTTTCTTTTCCATCTCTCTCCACCATGAAAAGGATTTTCTCTTTGCACATTCATATTTTTTCATTATGATCTAAGAATGTTTCAAATTTCAAATATCCTCATGCAGCACTGAAAAGTGCTAATGCCAGAATGGTTATAATTTGGTGGGCTTCCGACTAAAATGATTTACCACAGGATATAACTCTTCTGTTGGAGGTCTACTCTATGCACCATCATTTTTCTTAATTATTTCTGATATTTTGCCCATCATTCACTGACCTACGAAGCTATTTATTTAAAAACATTCTCGGAAATTTCAGTCTGTGAGTGAATTGTCAAAAATAATTAAGAAAAATGGTGGTATATGCCCCTGACACAGAAATAGATCTTTTCTAAAATGTTGCTGCTTTTAACAGAATTTAATTTAAAGTCATTTCAGGAATTATGACTCTATTAACCAAATGATTCCAGCAAAAGTAAAAACACCTAGAGCTTTGGACTAGATAGTAAGAAAGAGAAAAGTGTTCTTCTCGTGCCTGCTATTCTTTCGAAATCCCTCATATTTCATGGGGGACCATCACCATGCTCACCTCATTATCACACACATTTATAAACATTCATGAACCTTCTAGTTTTTCAAGATCTTCCCCTATTATGTCACTTACATTCATTTCTCCACCAAATTGGAAAAAAAGGAACAAAAGAAAATTTTCCAAACCAAACCTTAATTCTCTTTGGCTCCTCTGTCAGGAGTTAAGACAAATATCTAACAAAGCCTGGTCCCAAGGAAATGGGTACCACTTACCGCCTTCCTGTTATAACTGGCAAGACATCATTGGATTTGGCTTCAATTATTTTAAATGCGACTTTCTTCAAATCTGAAATGCCAACAGCCATGTCCTCTAGCATTCCGATTTCATCACCTACACAAGGGAAAAGGAGCATTGTTACAAACATACTATTTAAAGAAAATGTCATTTGGTACTACATTTCCCTGCTGGGATTTGTTCTAGCATTTTAGTGAATGAGTTCCTGAATGCAGTGAATATACTCTAAATGCTTTTCCTCAGAGGTTGAAGAATTTCACCAGTGAAATAAGAACCATTTCAGTGGACTCCAGCAGTCCAAGTACCCTTTAAGGGAAAAGAAAAATGTATACATTTGCAGGAAGACTACAGAGAAGTTTTAACTCCTTTAGGAAACAGAGTATCATGCAGCTGTCTTTCCATTGATAGGCATGATATTTGATTTCTAGAAATAGAGATAGATCCACACTATCCAATAGAAATATAATGCAGATCACATACAATTTTAAATTTCTTGATAGCCATATTTTTAAAAGAGTAAAATTTATAAATATGAAATTAATATTAATAATATATTTTACTCTAACTCAGTATATCCCAAATATCATTTCAGTTAAAAATCAATGTAAAATTATTCATTTTTTTTTTATAAAACTAGTTTTTACTAGTCTTTGAAACCTGGTGTGCATATTTAGTAGATATTGATTTGGACTAGACACATGTCAAGTGCTGAAAAGCCACACCAGGCTATGTATTAAATAGTGCAGTTCCACACATTAGAGAGTTGGGACTTTAAAAATCCAGTCATTGAAACTATGTTGGCAGAGAGCCTTTTATATTAAAAAGCCAGATGTCTGCTCAGACTCCACTATTCATACTCCATGAAATAATCTAGAATTCCATTTTCAAAACATAATGGGGGTAAGAATACAGTTACAAGGTCAATGAATGCAAAGAACTGAAAGTTACATTATTTCTGTAATGCTTAGGTCATCAAGGTTTATTCCACATTTTTATGTTTAACTGCAGAATCTATAGATCAAATATCCTTATGAATGAGAGTATGAGTTTAACATGTACTAAAGCGATACTCACTATATGTACTTAGCAGTCCTTCATACTGCACTATCAATCCCACTGTGTGAAGCTGCTGTAGGAACCCAGGGTCATGCAAACTTGTGTGTAATTTAATGATAAAACCACAAACCAATCCAGCAAGCTAAAAGAAAAGAAAAAAAGTCATTGAAGAAATTGACTAGAGTCAGCAAACTTTAATTGAAAAATCCTTAAGATTTTTGAGGCATCACAGAATTAATTAAAATTTTTCAAGTATGTGAAACATTCATGAACTAGTGGAGGACATGGACAGTTTGATTAAAATATTCCCTTTCCTTCTGTCTCCCTTCCTCCACGTGTAGGTCTATAAAACTCAGTTGTGGGTTTTGAGGCAGAAGGGAAAAGAAAGGCCCCCAGGACAAGCCACTGTGACAGACACCAGCCTCAGTGTCATGAGACAGGGTTGGCTGAAGGCAATGGAAGTGGTCCTGTTAAATCTTGCCTTTAAGCATTATTGCCCTGCAAACTTATTTTATAGACAAAGAAAACGTATAAGAGATCATTATGAGGCCCTGTCCTGGGATTCATTAGGGAGCTGTAGAAATGGGAGATGGCAAACAGATCCCTTCTGCCAGTCTCTGCCGCCACCTCTGTGCAAGGCAGCCACCCCTTTCCTTCCACTGTGTGCTGTGTGGAGACCTCAGGGCATAATATGATGACAGGGTGGGAGGCCTTTTCTTCCCTGATTCTCTGCACCGTGAAACAGAGCATACATTTCAGAGACTTGGCCACCTCTCTGCAGAAATAAATCCTTAAGATCTCAAAAGCTGTTTCCGTTCAGTTCATATTTATTATGGATTAGGAAAACTGATACTAAAACTTCAAGTAAGGAATCTCTTTAAAAAAATGAAACTACCAAAAGAAGACCTCTACCATCACCAAGGATACCTTTTAGCCACCCAGCCCCATGCTGTGCTCCCAAGAGGCACCTACTGCTTGGCTGAAGACGATGTCCCTTCTGAGCGTCAGCATCAAGCACTGGGGCAAGCTGTGCGCAAGTTCCTGAAGGAGCACGAAGGTCAGGGACTGCTTGGCTCGGCTCACCACTTCTCCCATGCAGTCCTTCAGGGTACGGATGAGGGGATACAGCTGTTCATACCAGTCCTCTGCAGGGAGGAAGGGGGTGTAAGAACAGGGGAATAGATGAAGGTCTCGGGGATGGAACCAGGTTATTCTTCTTAGTCAAGGTACACACACTATTAAGGATTCACAATGATTCGATTTGAAGAGGTCTGATCCAAATCTCTCTGAATTCCAGATGTCTGCCGTCAGCCGCCTTTGGATCTCTCTGCTGGGTATACTTAGCATATGTACAGTAGAACTCCTCTCTGGCCTGCTCACCTCCAGTCTGGGGACCACCTGTGGCCTAGTGGGTGGTGTCACCAAACTCCTTCCAGGCTGGAAACCAGTTTTCCTGGACTTCTTCTATGATCTTCACATTTTGGGGACATTGAATTAGTTCTACTGTTGTAGAACCCACCAGACAGTCACTGTCCCCATGCCCTCTGCCTTCATCACTTCTCAGTCTTCTCTGTCCATTACTATCCCTCTCCTTCCAGTCATGCCCTACCTGAACCTTTTCTTAACAGTGTCCCCAGAGTCCCTGGAGGGGACTTTCTAATCTAATCTAATTCCATCCCATCATTCACTCCCTCCCTGCTCTACTTTAAACATTGTAAAAACACTAAAGCGTTCAGAATAAAGTCCAAAAGCATAAAACAGCCTCCATTACCTGAAGTCTGCTTACTGCTCCAGTCTCTCAGAACATTCTCACTTGCAGTCTAGAGTCCCAGGTGAACTGAACATGTGTACTTCCCTGTCCTGCTGCCACCCACCCCCACCTCATTTACTGAAGTTTAAGTTACTTACCTTTGTGCCTACAGTTTCTTTTCTTACTGTTCTAGAACTATCCACACACTATTTGCTCTGTAAGAAAGGGAGCTCACTGACAGCAAGGAATTTATATTTTAATACCCGAGCCTAGCATAGGGTCTCACATATAGCAGATATTCAATCAGTTTTATTTTTATTTATTTTTTATTATTTATTTATTTATTTATTTATTTATTTTTAAGATTTATTTATTTGGCAGAGAGAGAGAGACAGCGAGAGAGGGAACACAAGCAAGAGGAGTGGGAGAGGGTGAAGCAGGCTTCCTGCTGAGCAGGGAGCCTGTGGGGCTTGATCCCAGGACCCTGGGATCATGACCTGAGCCAAAGGCAGACGCTTAACAACTGAGCCATCCAGGTGTCCCTCAATCAGTTTTAATTGAATGAGTAAAGTTACAATAAATATAACAAAAGTTTTTGGTTTTTATTTATTTATATTTTTATAAAAGATTTTATTTATTTGAGAGAGACCGAGAGAGGGGTGAGAGGGAGAGAGAGAGAGAGAGAAAGCACAAGCAGGGAGAGCAGCAGTCAGAGGGAGAAGCAGACTCCCCACTGAACAGGGGGCCTGACATGGGGCTCCGTCCCAGGACCCTGGGAATATGACCTGAGCTGAAGGCAGATATTTAACCAACTGAGCCACACAGGTGCCCCATAACAAAAATTTTTAAAGATATAGGCAAATATGAAAAAAATCAAGTTTTTGACAATTCAAATAGGCTTTCTTCAAATCAGGTACAAAACTGAAACCATCTGTGTTTTTTGTATGTCTAGATACTTGACTTGTTTCAAGTATATAATCATGATGTTGGCATATGATATGGGAAAAAGTTATATTTTAGTTTATTTGGAAATCAAGGCTCTGATAAATGTCAAATCCTACACATTTCAGACTGTGTGACATTTCATTAACATACAAATAAATTAATAGTAGTATGGCAATGAAATTTAATAGAAATGAATGTATGTTGAAAATTAATTATAATTCAGGATCTGAAATGATATGATCTTCTCAGCACAAAAGTGTAAGTTTCACCATGAATGATGTAAATGGTCAATAACCAGTTCAGTCCTTGGAAGAGTTATAGGGAATGATATAAACAATCATAATCACTATTGTACCTTATCTACCATCGCTTAGTTATTTTATGTTGTGTTGTAATAGACCAAATGAAATAAACCAAAATGGTTGAAAGAATAATTAATGACCCCAACTTAATAAAAAGATGCACTCTTGTTAATACTTTATGTAAATGCTTATGTGATGCTATAATGCAAAATACATAACGAGTTATTATTTTAAAATATTGTAGAATTACATGTTACGGTAGGAATAAAAAAAACACCAGACAAAGGGGAATACAATGAAGGCCTATTAAATCTGTAATCATTTAATGAAGGACTCACTTGTGGGCAGCCTACAATGAAATTTGGACAACAGTTCATTTAAAACCAGCATTGGCTAATTATTGATTTTTATGTCATAAGTATATGTAAAAGGGCATATGAAGGTACATCAGTCTTATTTTCAGAATAAAAGACACATCAGTAGACATCTGAAAGGAATAGTCCTTATTCTTATGTTTTTTTATATTTATATTCTTCTATCTCCCATTTCTCTCCCACTCTATAATTCCCAATATGAATGTTTACATACATATATTGATTCACTGACACATACGTATATACACTAGGAAAACAAATATTTCAATAAATTGACTGAGATTTACATCTTAGAAGAGAATAGAAGGCAGCATGATTTTGTTTTGCGCTTAGGTCTGTAGAGACCAGTTTCTATTCAACAATCTCCAACATAAATAAAGCTTGTGTGCAGTAGGTGGCGCTGCCTTATTAGGCTGAAGTAGAGCTAGGTTGTCCCTACTCTGTTCAAGTACCTGATCTATATGGCTTTATACATAGCATGTGTGGGTAGTTTAGGAACCTTGCATCATACTCTCTTGTGTCAAGTGATCAGTAAGTTGGTCAAGGGTGTGATATGCACTTCCTAGTTAGAAAGTGGAAAATTAACTTAAGGGCACACTTCTCTTGAAAGACACTCAGTGACAGCTAAAATTTAATACAGCTCTTGGTTCTTCTTGAAGATCTTTCTTTGCACATTTCTTCATTAGCACCAGGATAATTTCCTTACCCACTTCAAAACCTATCCTCATAGTTATTTAACCAGTTGATTCTTACTCATAAATTGCAATCACATAAAGAAAAAAATGAATCTGATTTCTAATCTTAATAGAATTAAACTGAAAACCTGGAAAAAAAATACACTAATATTTTAAACTTAGGGGCATTGTTAGCTGCTTGCCTAATGTCAGAAATATTCAGTGTCTCCATTTACTATAATTATATACAGTTTTTGTGGCTAACATTTAAGGCAAATGACAGTATAATAAAACATTAATTCTACACCATAAAAATACAAGTTTGTGAGTGAGGCAGAATGCCTTAAAGATAGTAGGAAGATTCCTATAGAAAAATATAAGTGAGAAAGCTAACATCACATTTTTTTCTGGCCAAGAAACAATTTAAGTTGAGCAGATACAGAAAAAACTGCACTGGCAAATGCAAATTGCAATGACTATAGGTTCTGGTCCCTGTTAATATTCACTCACTGTAAATCTCAGGTTCTCAAATAAACACAATGGTGTATGACAGGTCAAAGAAAGGCTGGAGTCAGTTCATAAATGGGCTTTTTGCTCCAATGAGCTTTCCAAATCATTCTCACAAAGGAACAGCAAATGCTCTAGTTTTCTCTTCAAAAATATTTTTGGGAGGAGAATAAAAGGTACAGCTCTTGACAGTCTTAAGACCATTGTCATTTCCCCCTCACCTTCCTGCCTCTCTCTACTTCACAATTTCCATGGTGCTTAGTTTGTTCTCAAGATAAAGCCCATTTTCTGGTAGGGATGAACTGGTGTTCATTTTGGGCTATCCGGTCAAAATAAGAAGTTCTGAAATGAACACATCCAGTTTTCTGAGTTTAATTACTTCAAGTTTCAACTAAGATTTTATACAACATACACACACACACACACACTCACACACATACCCAGTGAAGCTAGGTGGCTAGGGGATCTCCACCGTATAGTCACTTCACAAACACCTCTCTGGGAGCTAACCGGCTCAGCAGACACTTTAGTGCCCACATCCTCAATTCTATCCCTCTGGGCTTCTTTCACTGACCGAGGGGAATATAAAGAGAATGTTTTATTGTCTCTATAAAAACTTGCTGAAACTCCTTAACCCTGAGACCAAAAAAGCAGAGTCTTTCCTTAGGAAAACATAAAATGCATGTGGCTTAGCTGAGCTTTTCCTGAGCTTTGTGAAGTGTCCTGGAAGCCATCCAAGCAGAGCCTGTTTTCCAGCCCTTTACTTGCTTCTATAACATATTCAAGTGACGCTCACTGAAGGATTCAAAGAACGACTGCCAGGTGCCCCCCCACCCCCTCCATACGCCATCTATTTCCTGTACAGGATGTTCACGTCCTCTGAGCTCAATGGCTCTTATGTTACCCAGGAGGAAAATAAAAGAGCCAAATACCAACCAACTGCCGCAGAGCAGAATACTTTCTTTCCAATTTCTGAGCCATTTTCTTTTCAGGTGTTTGGTCTTCTTTGCTCATTTAAAATAATTAACTCCACACAAGCTTACAGCCATTGTTATTTTTGTTATCACAACTTTTCAGACACAGAAGAAAAGAAAAGCTAAAAGATTGCATGCCCATTAAACTTTATGCAAAGAGATAGAGAAGAAATGAGCCCAGCTTTTAGGATTCACCTCAGTGAAGAAGATGCTCACTGTGAAGCTAAACAATTAGAACGGCCTCTAAGGAGGGCGATAAAATCCCCAAGGTTGTAAGAACAGAGACCAAATACATAACCAAGACGGCTTTGATACTGTGCTCAAACCTCAGGTCCCACAGAAGGGCCAATGGGTTTGCAGTTCGGGGCTGGCAGTGGCAGATTTTGCTATCCCTGCTCAGAGTCCTTTTTGCTTTGATGGACCTATGTCCTATATCAGCCCACATACCACTACCCACATGCCCTCTGAGTGAAGGCCCAGTCCTTCAGGCACAATTCTACAATCTGAACAGCATAACTTGGAGGGATTGGTCAATGATCAGGCTTCCTCTCCACATACTTAACAGCTAAACTCCTTTGTATAAGTATAAGACATGTGGCCATCTTTGGTCACAGATCAT